CTATCAATATCCATTGACTCTCCAGAATTTGGTTTAGAAATAGGTAGTAATGAAGATGACACTTCTATTTGATCATTTCCATGACCATAATAACTGTCAAATGGATATGTTGGGTTATGTATTAATTCATGAGAGGTTTGAGGGGTTGGAAGAGTTGAATTTTGATCAGATGAATGTGGAGAGCGTGGAGATCATGGTTCATCTTTAAGTGTATAATCATTATCATTTCGATGCTTATCACCTAACCATATGACATTCTGATTGTTTTTATCTATGCATTGGACTAAGCCTCCAAAATTTTCAGATTTTTGTTTACTTTTAATAAAACCTATGAAAAACAAAGATAATTATAATTTTAATTGTAATTAGTCATAATAAAAATAAGTATGTTTAGAAAGAGACAATTTTATGAATCTACCTACTTGCTAAAGCATGTATTCCAGAAGCATTTATAATTGGATAATTACTTTCTCTGTCATGTTCCAATAGAATGAAATCAGGATTAATATCAATGATTTCTTTTACTCCAATACCAACTGTATCAATTATCTCTTGAAAATATTGAACAATTTCATCACTGTTGTCAATTTTTACATTAAATATTCCTGAGAGAATATTGCATATTTCTTGTGGAAATAAATTACTGGTTGCTGCACGTAATCCAAATACTAAGGCTTTAATACTAATAATGATAATTTATTTATTAGTCAATTTTAAAGAAATATGTTTTTTGTAATTTGTACCAGTTAATTAAATTAAATTTTTTTACCATAATTGTATCCAAGGTCCATATTTTTTAATGAATTCAGGAACTTTTGTGATTACATAGCCCTCTTGCTCTGGTACATGCCAATTATTATTGTGTTCACATACAAAATACATTCTGAATGGATTTGTGTACCAGGACCTGCAAAAAATAATTACATAATTATTTGAAAGTGTCCTTTATAAAATGATAAATCTGGTAAATTTTACCTACATTGGATTTTTAAACTCACGACGTACAGGTACCATTATAAAAACTTGAGGTGTTTTCTCATCCTGTATTTTTATTAACTAAAACTCATATGTTAATAATCACATGATTGACCATAAAAAACAAACAAAAAAAAATGCAAATAATAAATACCATTTGTGGAATTGTTTCAGTAAGATTTAATACAGAGGTCTTGACTTCATCAAATTTATTATTCAAACCCAAACTTATTTTTATTTCTTGATGATATCTTTTTAAGCATAATAA